CCTGTGTTCCGGTTGCATAATTTCGCGAAAATTAGGCAATTTTTGGAAGTGTTCCCTCGGTAAAATTCATTGTACCATTCTGAACACGAAACGATAGCTTCTATGTAGGTATCATTTTCAAGAAAATTTGAATCTGTAGAAAAAGAACGAACTAAACGAATTTGATTTTTTAATCAATTAACCCCCTTGTATTACAATATCGAGTGTGGACCGTGCAGATTTTAAGCTGATTTCAATGAAAAAAATATTATTCGGTTTGAGTCATTCCAAATGTAACACAATTGTCAATTTTCAACTTCTTCAATGCTATTGTAAATCAAATTCCCTTGCATCGTGGAAAATGATCAACACTGAAGTAACTTAAAGAATTTTAAATGAAGATGTTAACAATAACGCAAAACAAATTTATTTCAGCTATTAACTTTGACCTATGAACGATGAAATCATTGTATCTTACACCCACTTAGCCGTGCACAAAGAAAAGATCATTCATCGGTTAATTGCAACATTAGCCCGACATAAAAAGATATTTAATTAAATCGATTGTTATAAAGGACAGGGCCTCGGGGTTTCCTAATTGCCTGACATTAGACCCGCCGGCGGAGCTGTCGTCGCGCGTCACCGATACAAAATTTAATTATTATTGAACCGTTAACGGAGCGGAACGTTCGAAACGGAGGTGAATATGACGAACTTAACCCGATCGCGGCGAAAGGGGTAGAGAAAGAGAGAGAGAAAGAGGGAGGGAGAGAGAGAGAGCACTTGAACGCTTGTGGGGGCGGACACAAGAGCTCGCTTTAATTGTATTATCTATCGCAAGAACGGAATGGCGAAAGAGAACCGGGGGAGAGCCCAACGATGCCGGCCGGGTAATGCCTGACCTAGCCCTTCCGGCACGAACGGAATTTAAGCACCCGCCATGCTTTATTTTTGCAGGGTCCTGGAGAACGAGGGATGCATTCATTTCCGCAGATTGATTCGAGTTGTCTCGCAAACGGGGAAGACGGAAATAATCAGAATAAATTGAGACTCGTAAAGTCGATTATTAACTTCCATTTCGCCGTTATCTTGGCGACAGAAGCTGGTGTGCTTATATTTTTCATTTCGATTTTGTGTTCGTGATTCTTCACACTTAAAAGAATATACCAAAGAAATAAAAAGGTTTTGAATATTTGGGTTATTACTGTAAGGCAAACTGTAATGTATGTGAAAGAAGTTCACGATTTATATACGATTCTACATATTTCTGCATATTTATGATTCTTAACACTAAAACTACCAGACAGGTCAGAACGAGCCATTCTTGATTTCTTCTTTTTCCAATTATTAAAAGTATAACGGATGTTTCTCTGAGAAAGTAGTTGAGAAATTGATGTAGCAATGCACAAACTGAATTGAAAATCAATTAAAGTCTGAATAGATGCACCCTTGGTTTTTCTATAGAGGAATTTCAAAAAGTCAATTTAACTGCTCGGTAGTCGTAGTGTTAATGAATTTGAATTAAACGTTGCTAACAGGGTGAGAATAATTTAATGCGCTTACTCAGTCTGTGAAAAATATCTATAGCAAAAAGACTGGCTGATAAATTAGTCCCATTTAGCTTTTTTTGACATTCTCCAAGAATTAATTCAGAAACGGTATACTAGATAATACAAAGTAATGAATATTTTTATAATTGTCGTTTTATAGTAATTAATGTGTTTGACGAAACCAATTTACTCTAGAAAACAACTTTTAATTAAAAGCTGTCATCAACGGGACAACAATAATTTGCCAACACCTCTTCCTTTAAAAACTCCTCCAATAAATAACCGGCTAAGGAAATAAATATCTGGTTCTTTTTTCAGCACGATACAAACGAAATTTACGACGAAGCCCGGCTTCTAAAGCCCGCCCGGTTACGTTTTGCATGAAGGAAAGTGTGTTACATTTCAGATAAAGAGTTCCCGGAGGAAAAAATATTTTACTCGACCCATCCGTTCCGCGGCGTTCATCTTTGCGACGAAGTGTGGGGGTATGAGAGCGTGAGAATCTAAGGGACAGATGCTGGCACATGGCGAAAACAATTTTCGCCGGATTAGAAGACTCACGTCCAAGAGATTCATCAATGAGGCACGTCTTCGGGGATCGGGTTCCGTCATGGCAGCTAGAACGGACTGGAGCGCCGACGAGGGTGAAACGGAAACCGTTCCCGTCAGTGCCGCGACTCGCGGGGTTGTGTCCAATAATGCTCTTCCTAGAGAGTACATCCACATCTGAAAGCAGAGAAACTTCACGTGAGGCTTATGATGCTGCTTGAAACTGGATAAAATAAGCTGGAGATGAATATATAGGGTGGTCCAATATATTTTCTCGTTTCAAGTACTCATTTACTTCTAGGAAATGATTTTTTGATTTTGTAGTATTTTTGTATAGTTATTAGTTTTAGAAAAAAACGTTTTCTTGATAATATAATTAGAAAAGAACTATCAACTGCATATGTACTTCTTTTAGATACAATGATACAATTTTTTAAGATATAAGGTACAAGTTGAGTATTTTAGGAGAGAAATATAATAATGATATTGCAAAGTATCAAGAAATAATGTTTAAAAAGTTCAATATCCGTCAAATTAACGGGTTCCGTAAATCTGGTGTTAAAGAAATTTTATTATCATTCATGTTTTCCAAAGAAATTTCTCTTTCAAACATTATTTCGTAGCAGTTTAAGTTGATTTTGATCGGTGCAATTGTGTGAATATACATTATAATTCTCTGTCCTTGAAACTCTACTTTCCACGACCTATATGAACACACATGTAGTCTTCTAGGAGCGATAGAATGAAGTGCAGAATAAATGATCGTAAATTTAATGTTAAAAAGTAACTTATTAAATTTGAATCGATAAAATAACGTGGATAAATTAATTCAGTTAAGAAATACCGAGAGAAACAGTTCCTTGTGGTCAGGAAGATGAAATTAGCTTCGTAACACCTTAATCGTATGAGCCAACTGCATTGCAACTTATCTGGGTGTGTCTACGTCTGGTAGGCTAATCGCTTGGGTACTCCATGGGTTGCTATTCAATCCTCAATCACAATCAGAGTCTGGGGTAGGTCTGGGCTAGGTAAATGCCAGAGTGAATGGGACAGGTGTTAAGGGAAACGGGACAAAGTAAGCCATGGCGCAGTCACGTTGCTCATGGAAGATTTACACGGATCACCGTCTGCAAACTTCGCTTCCTCTTTTTATCACGTTGAAGATCCCTCTGGGATTGTGTAATCGGACATTTTACTTTGCTGCTTCCTGCGTACCGAACAATGTAACAAGAAATTTTCTCAACAGCAATTACTTTTAAAATGTTTTAAATCAGTAACTGCTAAAGATATTATTTTTAACAATATCAATGAATATAAAGAAACACTGCTAATATTCTGTTAATGACATAATAAAAATGATATTATTTAATAGAGGTGCAAAATGAATTTTGTAGAAGTAAGAAAATAAATAAAAACATATAGTACAAGTGGATAACATGATGAGGTTGTTGGATATTCTATTAAGTTTTATCAGAAAAGTTTCTAACGGTGCGAACAGTGATCATGGTTGATACGTGTTTCGTGAAAAGGTGGAAAAATTTGGTGCACTCGTATAGAGAGGAGGGAAACGGTAGAAGAGCTCGAAGTTTATTTATTTCGCGAACCGTTTGTTCCCTCTTTAATCTGCAGGAGATAAATACCAGCCCGCTGGAACAACGGACTTCTGTCTGACTGGAAACGGAAAGGAAAACAGCGGCGAAGTAAAGCAGAGAAAAAGATTATTGTGGATCAACAGTAAATTGATAAAAAGTAGCCATTTTTCCTACTTGAATCTTAGAAAAATTTATTCCCACCCGTGACTCCATTATGAATGTCGTTCATTAACAATTTTTTGCTTCATTTAAAACTTCGAAGCGAACTGTATGCTTTAGAATCATTAATCTTTTATTAATTAGGTCTCGAGGGATTTATCTCCGCTTCAAGCTTTTACAAATGTAGCAACCCTTCCATTATCTTTTTATATAACACCGTCAAAGTAATAGTACTCAATGTTTTACAGCGGCGCCAGGTCTCTGTTAACTAAGCCCACAAAAATTCTGCACGTTAATAATGCATTAACCAGATGATCCATCTGGCTGTCAAACCGATGCTCGTTCCACGCGTCCTATCCTTCGTTTCGGATGCATGTGTCACTCTATGCGCGTTAAAATTGCATGCAATTTTCAACGTTAATAAAAACGAACCGTCAAATGAGGGATCGTGAAATTGTTATTCGCTAAAAACAGGAATATACTTCCGCGAAATGGAATCGCGACTCCGTTCCACCCATCTACTCTAGATTCAGAAATAAAATTAATCGAACTAACACGATAAATTTAACAAAATATTTGAGTATCGATTATGTATATATAATTAAACATTTATAAACAACGGTCACTCTGTTTACTTATTCCGATTAACAAATATAATTCGACAAGCGTTTAACAACACGCACTTTCATCGCCAAATTAATTTTGTAGATTTTTTTTTATAGTGAAAGTGTGTCAGAGTGAATGTTTAGTAGGTATCAGAACGGGTGCTATAAAATAAAGACTGAGTGGAGCTGGATGTTGGAAAAACCTTGGGCCTGAATTGGGAGTCTTTTGGGACTGAGTGGACGGCTATAGATACAAGGGCCTGTGTGCACGTCAAGGGTTTACTTGAGATTTTGGGTGGTCGAAGGAAAGTGCGTGTTAGAGACAGAAATAGAAAGAGAAAAAGAATGGAAAAGAGAAAGAGAATGAGAAAGAGAAAAAAGAGAGAAAAGGAAGAAGAAAGAGAAAAAAAAGAAATGAAGACATAGAAAGAAAAAAACTTAAGAGTAGTATTAAGTCTTAAGGGTAGTTGATGAAATTGACAAAGAATATTCTACGAATTGGATTTTATTAGAATTATAAAGCAATCGAATACCGTAAGATATACAGTCAGCCATTCTTACTATCATACTCTTTCCCATTATTTTGTCAATAAACTCTTTTTTTTATTAAACTATGCATTCTCTAAACTCGTTACCCCGTCACCGCAGAATCACATAGGATTTCCCCCAAAATAATCCCCACAGTTCCAAACATTTAATCGTCGCGATGAAAAGGGGAAAAAATCGGGAGACAGCCGAATCGAAAATAATTCAATTTCACGTTTATCCCGAGTTAATATTTAACCCGACCCGACATCGGGTATATACCTCGACCCGCCAATTTCCCGCCGATTCGACCCAACAATTGCGAATAAATATTTCACGCGTGCGTTCGATGCAGGATTACAGTCGCCGGAGATCGCAAATGCGGGCGAAAAAAAGGAAAAATAGGCGAAAAAAGAGTCAGGACCGCTAATTTGCCGATAAACAATTTGTTTGCCAATTCGGCCGTTACCGGTTTGACAGGCGAGCATTCGCGGCACCGGGCGCCAAGCTATTTTCCTCGAAATTGTCGCATTGTACGGAACGTCATTACGCACGGGCCGCGATTAATTATCGGCTCGCGTGAGTTACGGTGCCCGGGTCGTTGGTACCCGTTGAAACGAGTCGCAAGGGAAAAATGTTTCGACTGGAGAGAGTTGGAAAAGAGGGAAAAAGAAAAAGAACGCGACGACTGCGATTTAACTCGACCTTTCATTCGTTTCGTGCAAATAAACATGAATGGTGGGCGGGCTTTAATTGCGAACATTTGGAAATGTCGGTTGAAAAGATTGCATCTCGTTGGAATGTTACTCGGTTAAATAACGCACGACTCTCGTGCAGACTTTGAAGAATTGTTAAATAGTAAATTGACACTTGCGAGGGATATTTTGAATTCTTTGTTTTAATTCTGTTCTGGAGTGTCATTGAAGTATCGTTTATATTAAAGTATTACTGCGAGCTAGATACCTTTAGATTCGTATTTTTAATTGAATTTAGTTTGAAATAAATTACAGCGAAGTGATGTGTTGGATAAAATATAAATGCGAGGTGAAGATGTTGAAGATTTTGATTTTCAATTGAATTTAATTTGAAGTAGACTTCAATTCTGAATATTTTGAAAATTGTTAAATGAAGAGAGTTATAATTTAAGATAGTGAATAGCATAGTGAATGCTAAATTTCAGATAAATTTCAATAACAGAAACGTCTGTAATTCCTAATGCAACTGAATAGCAACCAGATTTCTGTTTACTGGCGGAAATGCTTGGGACCGTTCGCAGCGAATCTACGGATTTTCGTGAATTCGTAGCGAATTTAATAAATTCCTCAGTCGTTCAATAGCAGAGATCGATAATTAATTTTATCGAAAATACAGTATGTAATAATGTCACGTACCTTTTCTGAGTCGGTGTCTGAATATACACGACCCGGTCGATATTCAGGCGGCAGATACGCTCGAGCGGTTTCGGGCGGTGCGAGTTGTAGCAGCACCCTACCACGTGGTGTCAATTCTAACGTGTGAAGAGTCACCACTGGTCCAGCTCTCGAACCACCCACTACACCACCGTCTGAAACAAATTTAAATTGGAATTGAGAGTTTCAACTGTTGCGAATAATACTCAGTTAAATATTAAATAACAGTAAATTAATATGCAAATTACATACCACATAGAGTGTTCCATTTAAACATATTTAATGCGATTATATCTTCAATTGTATACATATTTACATCATTGCATATGTATCTGTTTAATTTGTAGATTGTATGATTTATAGACTATTATAAGCGATTTAACGAATTCCTCATGACTAGTAAGAATTAAGGTTACGCGAATCTTACAATCTTATATCTAAATTGCAAATTGTATAATTCATAGATTATTATTACTAATTCAAAAATCTCATAATGACTAGTAAAAATTCAAATTAAGTGAACCTTACAATTGTACAATATCTACACTGTAAATTACATAATTTATAGATTATTATAACCAATTACAAGCTTTGGTAATAGTTTGTAAGGATTAAGGTCACGTGAACTTTGGAAAGATGTTTCTTTAATTTATAAGCACCTTATGCTGCGAAATAGAATTTATACGAGACACGAGGAAGGAATATACGATGTAAATCTTTTACTTGCATTCCGTGGTCGCCGTGCTTTGTTTATGGTTCACGCGACTCTGAATTTCCACGATGTCATTAACGTGTACCATTCTGTCCAAGCGAATTTCACCGAGTCAACGTTATTTTTTTTTCTCTCCTTTCCCGGTACTTCAGCCACAATTCCCGACTGCAGTCGCAATATCCCTGTCAGCTGTTGCACCGTGGATCCGTGCATCCGGCAATACGACGCGTACGCGGAATTCCGTGATGTTTATAATTAATTCCTCGAAGAATGCACCCGACTGTCAAGCTCGAAGGCAGTTGGGCGATGGCCGCAGGTGCACGCGGTTTGAACCCGCCAACCGGTAAAGAGGGATTTCCTCGCGAACTACCGGGTTTATTTATCGCAAGCATGGATCATCCGCTTCCGAAATCTTTTATTACCCTTTTGTTATGACTGGTGAAACTTTATTATTCCGCACATCAAATAAACGATTACGATGGGCCATCGGTTACGTTTTTAGTATTGTGAACAAACTGTATGAACTTTAGAACAAAATTGATTGAAATATAAAGTTTGTTTATAATCATACATTTTTGTTTAAAGTTGTCTGACATTTCTCGAATATATACAATTTCTTCTGGTACTCAAAGAGATAATGGCATTTTTCACAAATAACAAGAGAGAATTATTCTATTTCAACATTTCATTTATAATTATATTATACGAACTTTGCTATTGAATATCGAACGTTATAATTTTGCTACATCGAACCAAATGTTAACTGTAAATCAGCTTACGACCGCAAAGGATTAAATGTTTTGTAAAACGTAAATATCTCATTTCAAATTGAACAATTTTTATATTTTGTTAATTAAGTATCGAATTTTTGTGAAGTGATTTCGTTAGAAACAAATGTTGAATTTGATAAATCTAAACTAAATCTAAACTAAATTTAATCAGTCAACTGCGTTTGGCGAGTATGCACTTCATTTTTTTATTTCATCGCGCGCAGAATGAGAGATTTTTCAAATCAAATTCCACAGTTAACCGGTTAAAATAAATCGAAACTATTGCACGGATCAATGATCGGATCAGACCGACCATGTAGTCGAACCCGGTCGTGTTTGACAAATATACAAAACAGAAGCAACGAACTCGAAAAGTTGCAGCCTTCCGAGTTGTCGAAACA